AATCTGTAAGTTTGAAAAGTAGCAATTTCTGGTCTGCACAATGGTGGTCAAAAAGTGCTCAAACACAAATAAATTTTTTGCTTGAAAAGTTACAGAGCTACAAGGCTGAAACTTGCTGGGAATACCCAAATGGACTATCTCTACATGTGGGAAAAAACAGAACTCAAATATCTGCCATAGGTCAAGAAATAATTTTGGTCAGTTTTCATGCATATAGGCCATAGGGACCAAATATGGCCAATGACCAACTTTGCCAAATTTGCCAATTGCTCTCATGTTTAGGTCTTTTCCTACTAATTGGACCCCAGGGAGTTCAAAAAACTCAAAAAAACCAATCAAAATCTGTAAGTTTGAAAAGTAGCAATTTCTGGTCTGCACACTGGTGGTCAAAAAGTGCTCAAACACAAATAAATTTTTTGCTTGAAAAGTTACAGAGCTACAAGGCTGAAACTTGCTGGGAATACCCAAATGGACTATCTCTACATGTGGGAAAAAACAGAACTCAAATATCTGCCATAGGTCAAGAAATAATTTTGGTCAGTTTTCTTTTTTTTTTTTTTTTTTTTTTTTTTTTTTTTAAGTTCGATCTAGGTCAGAACATGGATATTTTTTCATAGGCTTTGTATTGGAATACGTCATGCGGCCCCATCAGCTGATAAAATTTTACATTGACTTGTTAAGCGCCCAGTAAAAGGGATAAATAATATCAGTTTATATATTTACTGATGTATTGGTATATGTTATGTTAACCGTGAATATCCTGTATCACTGAGTTGGTTAAATCAATATTAATTTCAATATTTTTAAAGTGAACTTAAATTGTAAATTTTAAATCCCGAATTAACAGATAGTATTAAGCTACTTAGTTGTACATCATCATTTATTTTTCATTCCGAAAAAATTTGTGACCTTTTTTGCAATTTCATATAAAGTCGGAATACTAGCTTGTAGAACTTTCTGCAACGATTCAGCGCAAGTGATCCCACAGAAAGAAATCTTAAGGGTCTTAAAAATGCAGAGCCTTGACTTTTGTATTAGGGTCGAGCCAGAGGTGGTCTGATTTTTAGTGAAAACTCAAGTGAAAACTATACAAGGTTTAGAGAACAAAATCCCTTATCTCATCTCAAAGTTTAATTTCATGCATTGTATTGAACTGAATCTATTCTTTTCATTCAATTGACTAGAAACTAGTAAGGAGTGCATTAATTCCTATTGAATATTTTGGATCATATTAATAAATTCTATTCAAGTGCGTGCCTCTTTAAACGAAACATCAGTCCCTCTTGTCAAGCTTATTACAATGTATAACATTATAACCACTGCAGTAAAAAAGGTCGTCAATAACCACAATAACGTACTCTAGAGGTCAATAAAGTGTGCAATTCTAACAAACAAACAAATTAAGTCTATCAACACGTGTATTTAGATTACAGAAAGTATTCGGATAATGAAGAAAACTCAATTTCGCTGTGGATTTAGCTTATGGACTATATTCTTCCTTCAACATTTCTCATCAGGACAGTTAGGTTTTGACTTTCTAATTGAAAATTAAGCTCATGAGCAAGGTAAGCAATAACTCAAAATACTTTTGGTCTAAATAAAGAAACTAAGGAAACGTCCCAACTAGTTAGATTATGTGGCAGAATTGGATATCTGTAACAACAATAATAGGCTCAGCTCAGGTTAAGATTGATTTTGATATAATAAGAAAATATACAAATTAGAATAGCCTATCGTCAATGATCAATCACTCAAAATGTGATATATTTAAGTGTAAAATTTCCTTATGCAAAATTAATCTAAAAACAAAAAAGTTTAAATACTCTTTATTTCTATGGACACACACAGTCTCACTAATTTGAAACTGACATTCTAATTTGTATTGAGGACGGAACAGGAACATATTCATTTATAGACAAATCGCGCGGTCTACAATACTTTAAAACAAAGTACTAAAGATTACATTACTTCTCGAATAGAAATGAATCGATCGCGTGGAAAACAAAACATCTGAATTGCCGGACAACAGTTAAAAAAATCCCCAAAATTCTTATTGATAGGCATATCCAAACTAAAAACATATTTTCTTTAAAGAACCACTGAGATTTGAATTTGGTGAATGACTTGCGATACGAAATATTGAGAAATATCTAAAAATCGTAGCCTGGTATTAACCATACAGCATTTGAAAACTATGTTCTATATTATTTTTAAATAGTTCGGTACAAAATTTTGGCTGTTCTATACAAGTTCAGTCTGATATAGGATATATTATTCATCTTCTGTTTCACTTTAATCTGCAAAGAAGAGACAAAACATTATATTAGTCTTAAAAAAAACTTGCTTACCCTTTACCTTTACCATTATCTATAGCAAGTCTTCTTAAACTATTCTTCTCAACTATTATTTATAACTATAGTTCTTCATTATCTCTAAATATTCTTCTATAACTAATCTATTCTTTTTAACCACTATTCAACTCCATTACTCTTCTAATCTAAACTAATCATATTGGCTTTTCTTCTTTAGCATTATCTTCTTCGCCGAATACAAAAGCTGGAAGCATTTTAAAATGTAGTTATATAAAACTGGGTTTCATGGCAATAATAGTATTAATACACGGGATTTCTATCACAATGAAAAAAACTAAAAGGATTTTAACGTAAACAGTGTGTAAAGAGGGTTATAATTTATGCCAGAACAATGCCACCGGCCTTCTCGTTTACTGTAAAAGGGACCTGAATTTGATTGTACAAACCTGTACCCCGGTTAGTGTCCCCAGTTAATAGACCCTTCCATTGAATTAATTTACTTTTAAAAAAAATCAAAACACTTATGTTTTGTATAACTGTTAGTGATTTTCAATACCGGTAAAAATCAGAATGAATGAAAGAATTAATGAATCAATCAAATATTATTTGATTGCAATTACAATAACAAGGATGAACACGTTTCAAACAGTTTTATCATATATGTATTTTTTCATGAAAAAAATCATTGTCTTTCGTGATTGTAAATAAACACGCCGTACAGGACATTGCTTTTGTGAAATTGAAAATATTACTGAAAATGTCATAATATTGAATGAATGAAAACAAACAGGGAAGGAAAAATGCATTCAGAGCAAAGTCTCGGTTCAAAAATATATTAGTGAGCCTACCTTTTTTTACTTTTTGTTTACGTAAAACGAAGACACAATTCGTTCAGAAATAAAATTCACATCACTACAGCATGCATTTTGTTATCTGGCACGTGCAGTGTGGCTCAGTAGAATTTGATTGTGGACAAAGGGGGGTTATTTCGACTAATGGTTGGCAAGGAGGATTTTCTATAGTATTTTGCCGCTTTCATGGGCAGAATGGGGTTTTACTTCCTCCTTTTCTTCACCTGATTCGACTCGATTCGATGAATACGGGAAACAACATGAATTGCGCAATAAGGGAAATTTTACTAGGATAGCTCCATTATACTACAATTAAAAGTCATTTATTTAATGACCATTTTGCCAACATATCCACAGAAAAGTAAGACTTCGATAAACTAATTTCCATAAATCAAAAAGTTTCAGTCTAATGGATTCAACTCCATCACCGAGTTTTTCTTGTGATTTGTACCATAGTTTTTGCAGTCAAAGGGGAGTAATTGAGACTTTGTGTTGTCCGTAGTCCCTAGTAAGGAAGCGAAAGAGAACGAGTAGGCGTATGTCACGTGACGTTCATGTGACACATTGACCTACATATCATAAAATAAAAACAATCACTGGGATTCAGAGATAAAATTGCATTTTTGATTCGTGTGTCAATCTGTTTAAATATCATAATTCAACTATCATGTGGACTAAAGCAAAGGTAAATATGCCAATTAAAATCTTGTCTTTGCTTATTGATTGAAATAAGGAAATTCTATGAAATCAAAAAACCAAATGAATGATGTTGTGAAAGTAGGACTTAAATTCATCGCATTATTGTGTTATGTTGATTGTCAAGGAACCCCTAAATCCACAGGTTATAAGGAAGTAATTATGATAAAGTTACAGCTAGGGATGAAACAAATAATTAGGTCTACAAGCAAAGTAAAAAAAAAATTTTTTATGAGAATTGGTATTTCAGCCTCAAAATAGTACTGTAACTCTTAAAATGACTTTGCTTTGATAAAAGTATAAACATAAGCACACATTATGTCTTCCAATTTGCTTTTACAGAGGCCCATTTTCAGCCAAAATTTGTGACTTTTTGTGGTTGAATTTCTAAGAGGCAAATGAGTTTCTTTTCAATGTAAACTTACAAAAGAGCATATTTTTATCAACGCAAAGATATTCTAAAACTATCAGTACTATATTTTGGCTGATATTCCAATTCTTTTAAAAAATATTGAAAAAAATTCAAAAAACTGTTTAATTTGCTCAGACAATACCTTAGTTTGCCCCCAGACCCCTTGTCCAAAAAAGGATTTTAAAAAAAATTTATGGCCATAAAAAGAATAAAGACACTAGATTTTTTTCTCAGATTTTTTTTTGTATGTTTCACTATATTGGTTGGTTTAGTTTCAATGGAATAGGTAAGATGGCTTGCAACTTGAAATATAAAATATGGGCCTGCAAGTCATAAAAGGCATAAAACAAACAAGATTATTTTACGCTAGGAAGATTCTTACCAAAATATGATATGTGTATATATGTTAAGTTACTGGTTAAATTCAATTTCCAGCTCATTGTTAGAAAAAGTAGTAATATTTGATGTACCGGTATACAAAATCTTTCATGTTTGAAATAGTAACAACATGTTGCTGGTTCTGTTTTTAATATTTCTATTGTGATATTATATCCTTTTGATATTTTTCCAGAATTTGAGAGACTGAAACATTTGAAATCAAACACATCAGCTAATGTTCAAACTCAGAACATTAGAGATCTTATTCAACGAGTTATTGGATCTCGGGCTAATGAGTTCAACTTAACAGTAGATCTTGCTCTCGGACCAGCTGAAAGAGACACTTACAAAGTAATTACAAATTTCCATTTAATTTAGCATTGTCACAGAACCACTTTTACACCTGCAGGTCAAGAAACCCTAAACAAGTGGAAATGACATCACCATTAGGCCTACACATGGCTATTACCGGTGTAAAAGTGGTTCTGTCCATTTAGAATGGAACCTTTAATATTCTTTTCAAATGGTCATAGGCTTTTGTAGATTTTGTGGAATATTACTCTAATTCTTTGTAGATTGTAACACAAAATGGTAAAGGACAAATTAATGGTACCAGTGGAGTTGGAGTGGCTATGGGATTCTATTACTATATTAAATATTACTGTGGTGGTCAGTTTACATGGGCTGGTCAACAAATTAATTTACCAACACCATTACCAGTAGTACCATCACCTGGTATCACTAAAACTTCAAATGATAGGTAAGATTTCTTAAAATTTAAAGACTTTCCAGTAAGTGTATGGCAGATCTGGATATATAACTCATTTCATAATCAGTGTGATATATTATAAATTTTTAGGTTTCAGTAATACCAGACAGTATGTGTTATGGTATTTTCTATCCTTCCGTAAAATTACTATTAATACTGAATGTGTTATATATTCTGAATTTTTATTACCAGATTATGTGTTCTGTTATAAATTTGTAGGTTTTGGACTTTTCTGTTTTACCAGAATGTATGCGTTATATTCTAAATTTTTATACGCCCACAATTATTGCCATTGCCCCTGTCCTTCCGTCTGTCACTTGATAACAGCCAATTAACTTTATATGACGTCACTTGATAACAGCCAATTAACTTTGTATGGCATCACTTGATAACGTCCAATTAACTTTGTATGACGTCACTTGGTAACAGCCAATTAATTTTATATGTTGTCACATAAAGGCAGTTATGCCACAGACTTAAATATTTGCTATAATTTTGTATGAAACAAATTTTTTTCAAGATTATACCTAAAAGCTTTGGTATCTCAATTGTCTGCATGGTCTAATTTTAGAGAAAATATGGTAACTATTTACTTGGAATAAGGTATGATATTGGAGGGGAATGGTGTCTTTTTTAACAAACCACTTGCTGGACCAATTTTCACCATTGTCCAATCTGATTACTTTCAGGCTGGTGGTTTCGTTCAAGTTATTGCAAGTCTATTTGTAAAACTTTTTAAATTCCAAACTTCATTTACTTAAATAACTTTACAGATAGCTTGCCAGGCAAGGTAATATACGCCCACTGGCAGCGTTGATTTTGAATAAAAATATTTAGCAATACAGTAACAATCACCATTATGAAATATTCAACCTTCAGTCATACACTTCTTTTGAACTCTTTAGGGCGATACTGAATAATATTGAGTATGAGTTATTGCCCTTGTTCTTCTTCAATTTTTAGCTTGTGAACACTCTGACCTGAATATTTTCAGGTTAAATTTACAACATTTTTGATAATAGAAATGTTTTACAAAAAAAGGGGAATGCCCCTTTAACTTTTTATTAGAGACTTCTGACTTCTGACATCTGGAAGTTATTATCTATTTTTATAGGATGACTAATTATACCATACAGAAATATGGGCATCATGACACAGAGGTTGATCAAGCAGGGAATATTTTACTAGTAAGTGTAGTTTCACTTTTTTCAATTTTGAATATTCAACATAGACAAAAGTTTTTTTAGGAAACTGTTCATTGTCTGATTGCTGAATAAAACATACACTGGAATTTTTCATGGTGAGGAACGATGTCTTTTTCAGGAATATAAAACTTAATAAGTACATGTATATGTTGTTACTTGGAGTTTCAGTCTATGCGATCTTCAGACAACTGACTTATTCTTAGCCTATGTCCTTATTAAAGTATATGTTGATTAATATTATCAAATTTATATTTTAGAAAAGTTTTCATGGTAAAAATGGCTTCGTGAAATATCCCAGACTAAGTCCAAAGTTTTATGTATGTTTTGTATGCATGAGTAAGCTTAACTAAATGTTGCATGAAATACTTACTAAAAGCACATTTATTTACAACATCAAAGTCTGATTTTGTTTACATTTTGCTTGGTAAAATAGCAAAATTAATTATGCCCATTAAGAATTTGGAAAAATTATGCCTTTCAAAAAAATACCATGAATAAAAGAACAACTTCTTAATCCTTAATCCTCAATATTATTAGGTTTTCTTTGGCTCAATTTTTGACATTTTATATCCAAAATGTATATCTGCATAGAGAGATATATAGGCTGCTTGAGTTAAATCAAATTCATACCTTATAATGCAGCACCTATCAAATTTGCAACCCATTGCTCAAGATCCAGAAATTAACATAAATCAATGAATCAAGTATACACCAAAGGCATTAGGTAGCTATTTCAAACCATAAAGGCAAGAAATGAATGAAAAACTCATTCTACAAAATGCACTATGCAAAGCGCCCACTAAGATATTTTGATCTGGTTTTATTTTTGCATCAAGTTGTTTGCACTCCACTTGTTGCTTTGAGTCAATTCTGATTTCTTGCTGATTTAGTATTTATTGGTTTTTTAGAATAGTGTCTATCAATCTAATGATGGCAATTCAGAATGCGATTTTGTGGTTTTAACTAGAAGACCTAATACTAATAACAGTACATTGTAAGTTATTACTATATAGTATCCAATTTTGTGCTTTAGTATGCTGCTTACTAATTAATATAATTTTGGCAAACTGCAAGCACTTGTTACTTTGGGGTGCAAAACTGTGCACTATACACACAAAAGTATGTTACACAAAGCATAATTTTGCTTGTCTGCATTTTAAAGTGTTTATCTATTTAAACTGCACTTTGGCCAATTGGTTCTGTATAAACCAAATGGTGGTAAAGGAGCATTTTTATTTGCATGAACCACTGCACCATACTCTTTATGTGTTGTTTATAAACATGTATCAAATGTGTGTTTGTTTGTTTATTTATAAAGAATTGTATTTAACTCTTAATAAAAACAAGGTAAATTATTTTTCTGTATGGCCAAATACATGTATTTTGAAATATTTTTGCCATAGCTTGAAAGCTAAAATGCTACATTATGATATTAGCAAATGAATTTTACATGTAACAAAGATTACTCTTGCTATTGGAGTTGAAAACAAAATGCTAAAATTACTTCCAGTGTAACAAAAACCTGAAGATTTGTGTTCAATGATAGAAAGAATCTTGCAGATTTGAATCCTGACCACACACCCTCTTTAAAACGATAATTAAACTAAATCAATGTAAAAGATATGATACATAATAAGGTATTAATGAAATTATATTTTCCTAGATATGGTACAGTCCTAACTTTCTGTATCAAGCATGGGATTTAATGGTAAAAGCTTCACCAAATTTAATAACAGTGATCTATTTAGGTAAGGTCCTTTTCAACAAAGCTCCAAGACCAGATAAAATTTTGTAGAAAGACTGCAAGGTTCTCTGCCAGTTTCCCTGATAGAAACCTCTAATGCCTAATGAATATGTTCTCCATATTGACAATGTGTTTTGGATATAAAATCCTGATTAGGTCCGCTAGTTTTTCATTATTGAACGTAAGTCATTGCTTATTATTAGAGAACACAAGCTAAACTTTAAATAGTTTGGATGTTTCTGAAGAAGGCAGTAAGCTGAAATATCAAATAACAGGACAATAATGTAGTAAGAATATACTATACAATACAAAGACTATCAACTCTTCAATCCTGTACATTTTATTCCTCTGATTTGTATGGTATACATTTTATTAGTCTAATCTTTTTGTAATTTATGCTATGTGTTAATTTTAACATAGATATGATCTAGTAGACATTACTAGAAACAGTTTACAAGTAATATCAATGAAGATGTATTCTGATATTCTTATGGCATACAGTATGAAAAACTCTACACAATGAAAGTAAGTATAGGGTCTCTTCAAAATTATAATATGATGTCTTAGAAGAGTGGCTTTGTTTAGCGGTGGCAGTTGTAATTGGGTTTGGGTTTTTTCAAGTCTAATTTGGGAAAAAAGGAATTAAATCCTGCATGTTATGAAATTTTAAACACTTTTCTTCAATATTATTAAATAAAAATGCATATTTCCAAATAAAAGAAATATATCATAAGGTCTCTCCTGGTGCATACTATTACTATTGATAAAAATCATAATTTCAGACAAGCTGGAGATTTATTATATTACTATCACAATTAGAAAAGTTGTTAGCATCAGACAGACTATCAATCTAGATTATATGAATACAATGCTAGGAACCACAACCCAGTGGAGAGGTAAATTTTATAGTATACCAAAATACATTCAAATATTTAAAAGAATTATAAGACCACATCGTTTCCAGAAGGCTTTCATTACAATACAGTCAATATAGACTGGGGAACCTCTTGACAAAATATTCAAATAGGTTAAAAATATACAGTATTGCAACAGAAGTTTCTTCTCCTGTCTCTTGTCATACAACAAAACAACATTGAAAGATTCTGAATGGTAGGATTTAAGGACTGAAACCAGCTCTCCAAAAAGCCCATACAAAATTTCAAATGACAGGCAACATCATGCAATAAGGGAAATTTACAAGGAAGTCTGAAGCTTTCTCAAATTTTAACTGTCAAGATATCATTAGAGTGCCAAACTTGTAGTTCACATGGCCAAAGTTGATTGTCTCAACTCACTAAACCAAATTCAAAATTTTTATCTTTCAGATAGTAAACAATGGACAGGCTTGTTTGCGGAGTAAGTAAACTTATATTTACGTTTTCTTACATCAGTTCCAGGTCTTTGCAACTATGGAAACTTCTATCCTTAAGGTACACCAATTTTGTTTGTTTAGTACACAATACCATTTATTTTTCAGTTTTTATCTACCAAGATGGCAGTTGTTTATAGATACTTTAAAGTAAGAGACTGTAATTAAATCTTGATGGTCCAATGCTTAGCTCTAAGGCTACTGAGTTTTCAAGGGAACAGGCTATAAACAAGAGAAATATATCCAGCAGTTTTAGCAGTATTGCAATGCAAAAGATCTCTTTGTCAAATTGTGTCTGTGATTAGCCAAATGTATGCCTAGTTTATATGTTCATAAATATAAATTCCTATTTCAACAGCAACAAAAAATCTACTATAATATAATCCAAATATAATGAAAAAATGTTCTTTCAGGGGAAATCATTTAATGGTCAGGCTGATGTAATGCTTATCTTGTTGAAGTATATGTATTTTGAAAAGTCACACTTGCATTTTAAAATCTTAAGGTAATTAAAATACAGTTGGATGTTTTACTAAATATTTATGTTGTTTCAGGTGATTTGATGGCAAGCTTAAAAACTTTACAGGATTTCTACAGACCTCAAACTATACAAGATGAACTATTTCATACTAATCTATCGAGATGGTTCAGAAAAAAATAAATATTTTATGAAGAACATTAAAAGATAGAAAACATTATTATGAAAAGAAAATGAAAACACACAATAGACATGTCATTCGAAATGAACGTATAAACATGAAGTATCATGTGTTGGTTTTCTGGTAAAAATTCAACTGTTTTCAAAGGCAAAGACATGTTCCCATGTATATATACCCCTTCACGAGTCTATGATATAATACATGTATATACATTATATTGTCTTTCCCTATATTACTTCCAAATGAATGGTTATTATCATAGTGCTTATGAAAATACAATGAAATAATAGTTTTTTGGTTATAGATCTAAATTACATGTCTTTTGGTATTTTAGCAATTTGAATCACCAACTATGAAATCCATATAATATTTCTGTTTTAAAAGAATTTACATTGGTTATTACTTTTTCATAATTCTTGACATTGCCTCAGTGCCTTTCAATGTGTGCTTTGTGTTTGGTTATAGATCTAAATTACTTGTCTTTTGATATTTTAGCAATTTGAATTATTAACTATGAAATCCATATAATTTTTTCCATAATATTTCTGTTTTAGAAGAACTTACTTTGTTTATTAATTTTTCATAATTCTTGACATTGCCTCAGTGCCTTTCAATGTGTGCTTTGTGCTTGTTTATAGATCTAAATTACTTGTCTTTTGGTATTTTAGCATTTGAATTACTAACTATGAAATTTTTTTTATGATATTTCTGTTTTAGAAGAACTTACATTAGTTATTACTTTTTCATAATTCTTGACAGTGCCTTTCAATGTGTGCTTTGTATAATGAAAGGAAAGACTGTCTCAAGAACTTAATACATCCAATGTTTTTTTTATGTATATATTATATTCAAGTTGATATAGCTAATAAAATATATTTCAGCCTTTAAATAACAATATATAGTTTTGCTGATTGGATTAATAGTGTTCATCTGTTACGCAGTGGGCAATGAGGGAATTTTTGCACAGTACACACCATTAGCTAAACAATCTTTTACATGACCAGGGGAAAAGGATATTTAACAATCTAAAGGTACTATAGTGACCCACGATCTGCAGAACATCAGGTTAGCAAGCATGCTTCTGCCTAATTCAATGTTACTCTCCATTACACTAAGAAAGAAAAAACACTATGGTTGGGTGGTACTCCAGTTCAGCAAGATATTCGCCTAACATTTTTCATGAACAAAAATGGCAGTGTGCATATTAATTTCAATATATTGTTTGTAAATGAGAAATGAAGCATAGATTGTTTGAAAACAACAAAAAAATTCCAGATTTATGAGAACCACATATGTGCAGTATGAAGATATTTTTAACAAAAGGTACAAGGGCTTGAAAATCTTTAATTTTGTGTCAAGACCTGTCAATCAAAAACTAGGCAATGCATCAATTATACATATATACTAAATAAGGGTCAGCTAATTTCAAACTAGGATATAAAAGAATCTTCCTCTGCGTATCAAACATCGGAATACCAACCAACCTAAAACTTCTTGCTACTGTTATTATGAAATGAGATACTGATGATGAGAAAAATAAACAATAATACAATGGAAAGTTTAATTACAAAATATACTCTCTAACTTAATCAATTGTTATTATATTATGGCCAATAGCCAACTTTTCAAATACCCCAATTTGGCTCAATTTTTGTTCTTTCCTACTAATTAGACCCCAAGGATTTAAAAGATAGCTTGCCAGGCAATGTAACATATGCCCACTACCAGTTGTCAGAAATGATAACAATATATTTAGTGGCTTAATAATGAATTTTCAAATAATCTCACAGTCATCTATAAGTCAAGGTAAAAACCTGAAAATCTCATCGCCGTACAAACAAGAGAAATAACTATAAACGGTTTATCCAATAATTACCAATTTCTAACTTGACTGAGATCTCATTATTATATACATGCATCTAGATTCACTAAGATTGGATAAAAACTGTAGTCTCTATCGTGCCTGCGGATCAAATTTGACAAGTTTTTAGTTAGTCAAGGGCATTAACGTCGGATAAAAACTGTAGTCTCTATAGTGCGTACATTCGACACGTTTTTACTAAAACAAGGGCAATAACTCTGAAACCATTCTTCAGATTATTCCTAATTTCAAACTTCAATATATACATGCATACCAAGTTTCATCAAGATCAGATTAAAACTGTAGTCTCCATTGTGCTTGCGAGCGAACTTTGACGCGTTTTTAGTAAGTCAAGGGCAATAACTCCGAAACAATTCATCCGATTATTATCAATTTCAAAATTGACCATAGAACAGAAAATAATTATTTACATTTTTAATGCATATTGGCCATAGAGGCAAATATGGCCTATACACAACTTTTTCAAATACAAACTTTTGGCTCAAGTTTTGATATTTTCCTACTAATTAGATTCCTAGGACTTCAAAAAACACAAGAAATCAAATCCAAATCTGTAAGTTTTCAAACTAGCTATATGCAGTTTGCATATTGGTGCACAAGAAGTGCTCAAAGACAAATAAATTTTTTGCGTGAAAACTTACAAAGCTACAATGCCGAAATTTAGCACCAATATTCACATGGACTATCTGGACATGTCAGAAAAACAGAACTCAAATATCTGTTATAGAACAGAAAATAATTTTTTACATTTTTAATGCATATTGGCCATAGAGGCAAATATGGCCTAGACACAACTTTTTCAAATACAAACTTTTGGCTCAAGTTTTGATCTTTTCCTACTAATTAGACCCCAAGGACTTCAAAAAATACAAGAAATCAAATCCAAATCTGTAAGTTTTCAAACTAGCTATATGCAGTCTGCATATTGCTGCACAAGAAGTGCTCAAAGACAAAATAAAATTTTGCGTGAAAACTTACAAAGCTACAATGCTGAAATCTTGCACCAATATTCACATGTACTATCTGGACATGTCAGAAAAAACAGAACTCAAATATCTGTTATAGAACAGAAAATAATTTGTCACCTTTTTAATGCATATTGGCCACAGAGACAAATATGGCCTACACACAACTTTTTCAAATACAAACTTTTGGCTCAAGTTTTGATATTTTCCTACTAATTAGATTCCTAGAACTTCAAAAAACACAAGAAATCAAAATCTGTAAGTTTTCAAACTAGCTATATGCAGTTTGCATATTGGTGCACAAGAAGTGCTCAAAGACAAATAAATTTTTTGCGTGAAAACTTACAAAGCTACAATGCTGAAATTTTGCACCAATATTCACATGGACTATCTGGACATGTTAGAAAAAACAGATCTCAAATATCTGCCATAGAACAGAAAATAATTATTTACATTTTTAATGCATATTGGCCATAGAGGCAAATATGGCCTATACACAACTTTTTCAAATACAAACTTTTGGCTCAAGTTTTGATCTTTTCATACTAATTAGACCCCAAGGACTTCAAAAAATACAAGAAATCAAATCAAAATCTGTAAGTTTTCAAACTAGCTATATGCAGTCTGCATATTGCTGCACAAGAAATGCTCAAAGACAAATAAATATTTTGCGTAAAACTTATAAAGCTACAATGGTAAAAAATTTTGCACCAATATTCACATGGACTATCTGGAAATGTCAGAAAAAACAGAACCTCAAATATCTGCCATAGAATTTTTCACCTTTTTAATGCATATTGGCCATAGAGACAAATATGGCCTATACACAACTTTTTCAAATACAAACTTTTGGCTCAAGTTTTGATATTTTCCTACTATTTAGATCCCTAGGACTTAAAAAAACACAAGAAATCAAATCCAAATCTGTAAGTTTTCAAACTAGCTATATGCAGTCTGCATATTGCTGCACAAGAAGTGCTCAAAGACAAATAACTTTTTGCGTAAAACTTATAAAGCTACAATGCTGAAATTTTGCACCAATATGCACATGGACTACCTGGACATGTCAGAAAAAACAGAACTCAAATATCTGCCATAGAACAGAAAATAATTATTTACATTTTTAATACATATTGGCCATAGAGGCAAATATGGCCTATACACAACTTTTTCAAATACAAACTTTTGGCTCAACTTTTGATATTTTCCTACTAATTAGACCCCTAGGACTTAAAAAAAGACAAGAAATCAAATCAAAATCTGTAAGTTTTCAAACTAGCTATATGCAGTCTGCATATTGGTGCACCAGAAGTGCTCAAAGACAAATAAATTTTTTGTGTAAAACTTACAAAGCTACAATGCTGAAATTTTGCACCAATATTCACAAGGACTATCTGGACATGTCAGAAAAAACATAACTCAAATATCTGTTATAGAACAGAAAATAATTTTTTTCATTTTTTTTTCAAGTTCAAATTAGGTCAGAACATGTATTATTTTCCATAGACTATACATTGAATTATGTCACGCGGCCCCGATCAGCTGATAAAATTTTGCATTGATTACGCCCTGTAAAATAATATCAGTTTTCATAGTTAATGTTTATTTAAATATTAAGACCATGAAATTGTTTGATTAAAAGGGATACTTGAGGCCGTGTTTTTTTTTTTTTTTTTTTTACTTTTTTTGTTGAATTATTTCAGTATCTATCTATTGGTTTTTAATATACCCATATAAGTTATTGTCTCTTTAAACGAAACAGGGTTATTACACAATGTATAAGATTTTGACATGCTGTAGTAAATCAGGTTGTTAATAACCAGAAATGTACAATTCATACCGACACATACATTAAACCAGACTCAAATATTAAGATTTCAGACAGGATTCATAGAATGAAGAAATTAGAATTCGCTGCAAAATAAATTAAATGTGATC